GACCCCTTGTTAATACTTTTTAAAACTGTGCCTAAGTGTAAATTATTAATCACTGTCTATGTGAGGAAAATTACATTGCTGGGATGTGGAATACTTGAATAAGCATCAGTAGAAGCATTGACTTCTTTTGAGAACTTATAAAAGCTAGAAGCCCAAAGTCCATTCCTTGATTTAAGACCTGTAGTCATCCCAGCCATCAGCCTCTGGAGGAGGCTGGATCCATTGTATTGTGAAGCTAGATCCATTGTACTGTGAAACAAGAAATTGAAATCTATGACCTGGGCTGGAAAGCAGATGAAGGTGCAAACAGAGTGTATTCTCACCCCATAGTCTATACTAGCCACTGACTGGCAGGCTCCATGTGGGAGGCAGGAACTTTATAGCAACAGCAGTCTTCTTTTGATAAATTACAGATGGCATACAATTATATTGCCAGTGAGATTTCCTGAAATTTAATAGAACTATGAGAAAATCCAGACAGAAGGATGAAAAGATCCGTATGTCTTGGTGAAGAAATCTTCCTTTATCAGGTCATTCAGAAACTGCATTCTTCTGTAAATATTGCTTGAGCACTGTTCATTTTGGGCCTGTGTTTATGCCATAACAGCCACTAGGACACGGTGGCTGATGAATCAACTAAAATCATACCAGTACCTGTCAGTTTCTTGGTTGCACTGATGACTTGATATGCTTATTGGCTACTGCACCTAGTGCGACTACATTGGACAGTACTGCTCTAGGGAGGGTGGGAGAGGTGATAATGATAATGAACAAGGTGTATTGAGATCAGGGTTGCAAAGAAAATGGAACCGTAGTGTATATTAGGGGGAAGGAGGTAGGTGTGGGTGGGCAGCAGTAGTTTAGAACTGGGCAAGATGGAACTCTGAGGTGGACACTTGAGCTGAGAGCTGGATGGGGAAGGTGAACCAGATGAAAATGTTGAGGAGGAAGAATGTACCAGGCAGGAGGATGGCAAGTGTAAAGACCTCTGGATGAGAGGGCCTATGTGAAGAAAAGTAAGTGGCTGTGGGTGACATCCTTTGGTGTAAAGGGCATGAGAATAAAAGGTTTAAAACATGTTCCTTTGTTCCCCAGGGTGTGGCCTTGGGCAAGGGTTCACTGCCTCTCTCCTTCCATGGATTTCTTTTATGTAGGGGTTGGACACTCACTGACCAGGACTGTGATGGTATAAGGCTGAAGGTCTTTGGTGGTCTTCAAAGACTGACTCAAAGATGGTCACAGCTTCTGGTAGATGACCCTCCAGTCCCTAATTTGGGGTTCTGGATACATAAGCCTCAGGAGACAGCCATTAGTCCTGTGAGGAACACAGACACAGAAGGCAATCCAATAGAGTTGCTCAGCTGAGCTAAGGAGGGATGGGTCATCTGCATAAGGAGAAAAGGCAACAGGAGTGTGCCCTAGAAAGGAATAAGGGGAGCTGAGATGAGTACTTCTGTGACCCTGCCCCCTCCCCGTAAAAGATTACTAGTGACCCATGATGTTTTGGAACTGATTGGTCATCATTCCCTAGGAAACTCAGCACTGTGAGGAAGACAGCTGCCTCAGGCTTGTTTCTCAGCCCCAAGGGAAGTAGCAAAGAAATATGTGAAAGGAGAGAATAGTGACGAGTAAAAGAGCAGCTCCCGTGCACACTTACTACATGCTGTACAGGAGGTGGATAGCCAGTCACTTAGAGTGAGGAAACCCCGGTCCAGAAGGATTAAGTCTGTCGCCCAAAAAGGCTCAATGAATTTGTCTAAAAGCTTACAAGATGTAGAGCTGGAGGTGAGGGGACTATTTTACCTCCAAGGTCTTTTCTGCTGCTGAGTCGTAAACTGAGCCCCAAGCTGAGATGAATGATCACGCATCTGCATCCTGGCAAGAGGATGCATCAGTCACTGCTGTGGCTCTGGTGGGAAGGAAACCCAATTTTATATTTTAAGCACTTCTGTTTCCTTTCTGTGAAATGGGGCAAATAATTTCACAGAACAGACAATGGTAAGGATTACTTTAGAGGGTTTGTGGAGTGGTTCATGGGTTGACATTTAGAGGACTGAGATACCGTAACTGCCTCCCCAGTTCTGGGCTTGTGGCTCTTTTCATCTTCTGTGGTGTCCATGGTTCCATAGTACTCAGTAGGTAGTGATCATGTACACAGTGTGTGGGTTCTGGAAGGGAGCACAAGGCAGAGACTGGAGGGCTCCACATCTACTGGGCTGCCAATGCTCTATGTGACAGCCAGAGATTCCAAGTCCATACTTGAACTCAGGCTCTAAAGCCCAAAACAGAAGGAAGGTAACTAAGGGAGCATTCAATATAAGATTCTGAAAAAGCACCTTGATGTCCCCAAGGATGGGCAAGAGTAGAGAATTAAATGTATGATCAAGAGTAAAGTAGAAATAAATGGTTTAGAAGCTGGGTAAGAATGGGATAGAATAGAAAAGAGCCTACAACCCAGTTCCATTGAGAAATCACTAAATAAAAATCTAGAGAATATAGAAAGGAAATTTTAGAAATTAGAAGTCTATGGGGCAGTATGGAGAATTAAGATTGTTTTGCCCTTATGGAAATTTCAAACCTTAAGAATTTTAGTTGAAGTAAATGAACCATGCTTTCAGATCAAGAAAGACTTAGAGGAAAATAAACCCCATAAAGCCCTAAGGAATGGAACATGAAGGGAATTAAATATAGAAACAGGCAGACATAACTGACTGGGGGAGAATATGCCTCCAAAATGGAAATAAATGCTTATTTGGGAGAAGAGGCTGGAGATGGGTGCGAAAACGTCTCTTGCTTAAATTTAGTTATAGGCAAACGTTTTAAAGACAGGCAGAGTGTGGCAGAGAATTAGAAGCCAGGCTAGGCCAGACGGTGACCCGTTAGGGTGGCTGGATCCCGCATGGTTGTAATACACCCTTTGAGTCCTGGACCCAGTGGGTTCAGAAATACGCTGGGAGCATTTGCGAGCGTGCCCAAACTCTCAAGAAAGGAGAGTATGTGTCCGCTTTCTCTGAAAGGTGCTTTCTCACTTTTCCCTTCCTCCAGTGAACGCGGGCGCGCTGTAATAGGTGCCCCCAGCCAAAAAGAGCAAAGGGCGCAGCACTTCGCCTGCTTTCCCGCTGTGTGCCAGGGTCGGCCTGGGCGGCCGCTGTGCCCCAGTGGGCTCACTGGGCGGGTCGCGCCAGCGTTCGCAGGGCTGGGAGTCGGCGAAACGAGGAGGCATGAAGCCACGCGCTCGAGATTTTTAACTGGGAAACGCAGAATAAAAGGGGCAGAAGTCACGGGCAAAAGGGTCAGAGCCCCGTTGTGGTCGCGCTGAGACCTGCGCTCGCCCGCAGGAGTCAGCAATGGAAAGACGTCGGTCAAGGAGGTGCCTGCGCCGCAGGGCCTTGGGGCTGTGGGACTCCGTGTGTGACACTTTCCTGGCTGTCGAAAGGCGCGGCTGTGCTCCTCGGGCAGAGGAGCGGTGGCCCCACTAAGCAGTGGTGACGCAAGGGGCGTTGGGGTCAGGTAGCCAGGCCAGAATCCTTGCTCACAGACTCCCCAGTAGCAGTTTCCTGTCCTGTTTTCCTCGGTGAGTCTCTGCGTTTTGGGCTTAGAAACAGGCACTGGAGTGAGTACCCGCAGAGCCAGCCTTATGGAGTCATTCCCCACACTCTAGACAGCAGCAGGAAGGTTCCAGGTGGAGGTTAGTGGCTGGTAGGCGGTCGGGCCCGAAGTGCTCTGCAGCTTGCATGGGGGCTTAGTGACTCAGGACTCTGTTGGTGATGCCTGTCCCCTCTTGGAAGGACAATATAACCTTTTTTAAAAAGGGAGTGAAGGGACCAGCAGTTAGCGTAATGGCTATGTCGCTGGACTCCCACGTAGTCGACCGCGGTTCGTGTCCTGGACCCGGTGGCTTAAACTCACGCCGGGCGCGTGTGCGTGCGTGCCCAAGATCCCGAGAGGAGAATGGAGGAGAGGGGATTGCGGCGTGGCCATCCCCCCTGGGGGGTGATTTCCTGCTTTCTATCTCTCTGTCTGTCTGGCGAGCGCACGCGCCCTATAGCAAAAACCTCTCCAAAAAAAAAAAAGGGGGGAGTGAAGAGCAGTGGTAGTTGTTAACCAGGTCCTAATCTCCAGGTTTACTGCCCTAGAGGTTGTGAGTCAGACTTCCGTCATGTGGTCAGGCTGCCTCCACATCTGTTACTATCTTTTAGCTTCCTAAGTAGATTAGTTTTGTAAAAGTACTTGAACATTAGTTGCTAAAGCTTTGAGTTCACACTGAGTTCTTTTTCAGTTAGAATGGTACTCATTTGTACTCACAACAGGAAGAGCAAAAGTGCAGGTTTACTCCCAGTATCAGCCACGCCATTAAATGTTGCAGAAATAATCAGAAGTAATTAATAATCTGTGATTACTTACATTTGTTTATTTTTCCCCCAAGTACCTTGGATTTGAGATTAACATTTTTTTCTAGAGTTTTCTTGTTTCATTTTGTTCCCACCTTACTATTTTGGCACAGTCCTGGAGTTCAGTAGATATGCTTTTATAGATTTTGCCTAGATCCAGAACTCCTGCTTTTTCCACACATCCCCGTTTGTGGCCCCAGTAAAGGGTGGGAGCAGGTATTTCCCTTCATGGCTTCATGTGCATGCAATGTCATAGGTCCTTTTTCAACCCCATTGTCTCTTGTTCTTACTTTTTGTTTATTATTTTAATTCTTTTAGATATATGTATCCAGGGAGGGAATTCTAGGATTATATGATAACTGTATGTTTAACTTTTTGAGAAATTACCAGACTATTTTGCAAAATAGCACAGCATTCTGCATTCCCACCAGCAGTGTTTGAGAGTTCCAGGTTTTCTACATTCTGATGTGTTACCATCCATCTTTGATAATAGCCATCCTGGTGGGTGTGAAGTGGTATTTCACTAGTTGTGATTTATATTTCTTTGCCAGATAGTGATGTTTTTGCGTTGTCTTTGTCCATTTGTCTCACTTTGCTCTTGACTTACAGAATGTCCTGGGACTCGGGAAGACCCTGAGGTAGAGTCTCGTCCTGCTGAGAATCCCCTGATGAAGATTAAGGTTGTTGAGGTCCTCACACTGAACCAGGAGGTAGCTGGTCCTCGGAATGCCCAGATCCGGGCTCTATATGCTGAAGATAGAGGCTCAAGTCCAGACATCCTCAAGGAGCCAACCCAACAGCTGGGCAAACATCCAGCTGACTCTGAGGCTGCTCGCCAGAGGTTCCGGCAGTTCCATTATGAGGAGGTGATGGGTCCCCAGGAGGCCTTGACTCAGCTCCGAGAGCTTTGTCACCAGTGGCTGCAGCCTGAGGTACTCTCCAAGGAGCAAATCCTGGAGTTGCTGGTGATGGAGCAATTCCTGGGTGTGCTGCCTGGGAAGTTTCGGTCATGGGTGGAATCTCAGCACCCGGAGAACTGCCAGGAGGTGGTGGCCCTGGTAGAGGATGTGACGATGATATCCAAGGAGGAAGGTGAGTGCAGTGGTAGAATGAATAGAGGGGGAACAGCTCTACTAAGGGCATCTAGGATCCTGGGGGTTGGGATGGCAGGGGACAAGTGAGAACTCCAAACTTTCAAGAGAAAGGGAAGGGTTGTGCCCACTCTATCCAGACCAAGGACATCACCCCTGTGTTCCCTAGTCAGAGGTACTAAAACCCCCAGGTGGGTTTCAGAATCACTTCTCTTAAGTTGTATTTATTTCTTTATTTATTTACTTATTTAAGCTATCTGCTTGTTTATTGAAGCTATTTCCTTTCTTTTTTTACGTGAATGAGAGAGACAGTATCCCCTGTAAGCTCTTCATACAACGATCCATCCCCGGCTCAGCCAGACTTGGACCATGGCACATGCATGCCTGGCATGTTTAGGGAGGTCTCTGGACCCAAGGCCAGAATCTTCCCATGTGGGTCAGCCTTGCAGAGCACTGCATTACCACTGCACTCACCTTCCTCCTTGTTTAGTGAGCTCTCTGCAGGCTTCTGGCAGAAGCCTACAGATAAGGTCATTTTATTTTCACCTTTTTGGGTTCCATGATATACCACAAGCCCTTTACCATTTGTAAGGTCTGTGGGTAAAGTCACAATTAAGACAGATGACACTCCTGAGCTCACAGAGTCTACTATAGTCTATTGGATTTGACATGAACATGTATGTGACAATGCTGAGGTTAACTAGAGCTCAGGGATGCTAGTGGAGCTTTCTTTGGAGTCCAAGTTGCTGTAGCCCACAGCAACCATGGAGTAGAATTTGATCAGGTGCAGGAAAATGTGCCAACCAGAGAGAGCATCACCTGTTGAGGGCATGAAGTGAAAGGAGTCACACCATATGCACAAATCAGGAGACTTGGTAGGGATGTGTGGTGGAAGGGAGCAGAGGATGGGCTGGCACAACCCTGGAGAGCTTTTGGAGGCCAAGTTGCTGCAGCCAACACCTACCATGGAGTAGAACTTGACCAGGTGTAAGAAGAGCAAAAAAGATGTGTTTTTGGAATAAACAGATGATTATCTGATTGTGACTAAGGGGGGAATGGAGAGGAATCCTGAGGTAGATGGTGGAATTCCAAGAGAATGGGACTTCCTAAAGAAGCATGATTGTGAGAGAAGGCAGACAATAGGGCAGGGGGTAGCACAACTGCCTGTTTCAGATGCACCGATTCTGTGGTGATGCAGTCAGCAGAGTACTTGCACCCGAAGGTATCCAGGTCCTAATTTCTGGACCCCATGTATCTGTTATCTCACATCCAAAGGACCTTTACACATAGGATTTGAAATGGGGATATTATCCTGGATTACCTAGGTTTCTAAGGTAGTCTCTTTTTCATAGCTTGGCTTGGTTCACTCAGCAGTAAATCTTCCATATTCATCCACTTTCTGTCAAAAGCCAGGGTTTTGTTGGTTTTTATGGCTGAATAGTATTCCATAGAGTATATGTGCCACAGTTTTTCAATCCATTTATCCGTACAGGGGCATTTGGGTTGGTTCCATGTCTTAGCAGTCGTGAATAGTGCCTCAGTAAACATCGATATGCAAGCATTTTTCCAATGAATTATTCTTCTGTCCTTTAGGTAGATTGCTGGATCATATGGTAGTTCTGTTTGTAGGTTTTTGAGAAATCTCCAAATTGTTCTCCACAGGGGCTGGACCAATTTACATTCCCACCAGCAGTATAAGCGTTCCCCTTTCAACACACCTCCGCCAACACTTAACATTTTTTGTTTTTTTAATCTTAGACATTCTGACTGGGGTAAGGTAATATTTAGCTCAGTTAGGTACATACCAGACTTCTGATCTCCAGAAACTAAGATAGTAGATATGTGTTATCTGAGCTGCTGAGTTTGTGGCAGTTTGTTTCAGCAGCATCAGGGAATTAACACAGGGGCCAAGGAGGAAGTTGTGACAGGAAGGGAAGGTCAGTGAGTTCATCCTATATTTAACACCTCAGGGATTTATGACATCAAGTATTGTCACATAGTCCCACAATAAGAGCCCTTCCTGAGAACCCTGAGAATCCTGTGTTTGTTTGTATTATTCAGCCTCCTGGGCACTATGTGACTGCCACAAATTTTTGTACCGAATGACTCTAGGGAAAATTAGTTGGAAAGATTCTCTAGCTTCAGGCATGCTAGACCAGCAGCTCTGATGATGGGCTCAGAATCTCTCCCATTTTTTACTCCTGCTGGCTTCACTCCATGAGCTTCACTCAGAGGCAGGATATCTACGTAGGCTGTCTTCCAACATGGACTTTATCTTTCCCAAGTCTTGTTGGCTCTCATTGACCAGATGTAATCACTGTGGCCAGGAAAAAGCAATATTCTGGTGGACCAGCCTGGGTCACCCCATGTACCCCCTTGGTATTAGCATGGAGTCAGCACTACAGAAGGCCTTGGACCATGTGGGGACATGTGAAAAGGTCACATGAGGAGTCATGGTGGCAGGGGTCATGGACCGTGTGTGCTGTTCTTTTTTTTTTTTTTTTTTTTTTTTTTGGGGTTTTTTTTTAATAGTGCGGGTGGT